TCCACACGTCAGGACACGTGGGTGTGAATCAAATGGGTTACGGTGTTTTGGGAATGGTGAGTTTCCTTGGCTACAGACCAAGGCTGGTTTCTGTTTTCCAGGCTGAGCATAGGACCATGACGGCTTTTATCCTTGCTGTGATCGTCAACAGCTACAACACAGGGCAGGTGGGTACCTCAAGCACTGGCAGCCCCCAGGTCTGCCCCCAGCATCGCATGGTACTGGCTCTTGATGGTGCTGAGAAGCTGGGTATAGAGAAGGACCTGCTCTCTGAGATGGGAAGCAGCAGTCTCAGGAGAGGGCCAGCAACAGGATGGCGCTAGGGCAGGTGCACCCAGCAAAGGCTCACCCTCTGCTAGCCATCCACTTGCTGGGAACACCTGGCAAACAGGGTGACCATCATGCCAGCCTGGAGCCCTCACAGTCCCTCCCCTGGGCTCCACACAGGCACCTGACAAGCAGGGTGACTGTCACCCCAATCTGGTGCCCCTCTCCCTGCTCCTCCCCCTCACTGTGTCCTCTTGCACAGGAAGCCTGCCTGCAGGGAAACCTGATCGCCATCTGCCTGGAACAGCTCAGTGACCCGCACCCCCTGCTGCGACAGTGGGTGGCCATCTGCTTGGGGCGGATCTGGCAGAACTTTGACTCCGCACGATGGTGTGGTGTGAGAGACAGTGCCCACGAGAAGCTTTACAGCCTGCTCTCCGACCCCATTCCTGAGGTGAGCCGTGAGTCCCAGGGTCCCATCAGATGCTGCTTGGGAAGGGCTCGCGCTACAGACAACTGCAGCAGAAGCTCCAGGGGCTGCGTGTGTGTAAGCGCGCCACAGTTGGCCTCAGGGAGCACAGGGTCACTGGGCTGGAGGTGGTGTGAACCAAGGGTGTGCTGTGCATTGCAGAGAACGCGTGATTCCCCCTCTTCACGCAGAGGGGTGCAGGCACCTCGGCCAGGCAAAAGGCAGGCAGATGTGCCCCTAGCCCCAGCCACCTCCCAGACCTCGATGGGACAGCAGATGAGGAGCAGAAGCAGCATTTGGGTTGTACAGTGTCACCTGAGGCTCCCCTTTTCTTGATAACATGAGTGTAGTCCCACCTGTCCTTGAACAGGCTGAGGGCTGCTAGAGTGTCTGTCCTTTCTTTTTTCACTGTTGGCAGCAGCCATGAGCCTTCCCATGCTTGGGGATGTCCATGGACATGACTTGGTCTGTTAACTGCCACAGAAGATGGCATGTCCTCATTGTGTCCACCATACTGGCCACCATGCCCCTGCCTCACTCCACATTCAGAATCAGCCTACAGCTCAGTTCCTTTTCCGGGCTCTTCTTCTTCCCAAGACAGCAAACCCTTGCAGTCCTCCCCTGGCCATCACCGTTGTGTTCCTTATGGTCTTCCCCTGGCCATCACCTCTGTGCTCCTCCTGGTCCTCCCCTGG